CCCCGGCCGGAGCGGACGGCCCCTCACGCGGCGGCGCCCACGCCCCCAGCCCCGCCATTCCGGGAAGCAGGTGGCGGCGTGCGAGGGAAAGGGAGGGTTGGGGGTCCCCGTGGCTGAGGGTGGGCGTCAGAAGCCCTGCGCGTACCAGACTCCTCGTCCTTCTTGTCGAATTTTTTAATCATCTTGGACGACTTCCCAGCGCCCCAGACCCACCGCAACCGTCCCAGGCGCTGACGGCAAGCGGAAGAGACTGCAGGAAGGCCGGCCTTGTGCTCTTGCGCCGGTTGGGCCAACGGGCTGTCACTCGGGGCCAAGGCCCGCCCTCCCGGGCCGCCGCCGCTGCCCTCGCCCCCTGGGGACGCAGGCACGCCCTCTGCTCCTCCCCGCCTGTGCCGCATGGGGCGGAGCCAGAACTGCCCAGGAGCGCGCCCCGCCCAGCCGCCCGCTCCCACACGGTCCCGGCGGCAAGCCACGCCCACAGCAGCAACAATCTGTTTTATTTAGTTGGTGACTTGTGCTAGCCAGTCATCGGAGAGTGTGGCGAGGCTGGAAAGGCTTGTTACCGCTTAGTGACAGTGGCCTTCTTGATAATCCACTGCTGGGCCCTTCCGTAGCGGAAGGTGCTTTCCCCTGGCGCGTCCCTGGTGGGCTTCTGTTCCAGAAGAGTCGAAAATGTGAGCGGTTCCCAAACATCCTGGGAACGTGGTGTTTCTTGGCTCTCTGGCTGCTTGGAAACTACGACTAAGCACAAGACACCTTGATCAGTGTGTACCTCCAAAAGTACTAGAAAGGGACTAAATGAGAGGACAGAGAGAAAAGACCCACTTGAAGGGACCAGAAAAGCTGATCTTTACTCTTACCCAATTTATACAGATTTTTAGACCATGGACTGCCATTCCCAACCATCTTTTATCATTCTGCTTTCCTTCCCTCAGCCAAACTCACTGCCAGTTTAGTCTTCCTTAGTCTCGCCTTTTTCAAATTATTCTATCTGCAATCTTACTGACACTTAAGTCACTCTTAACTAAGTCAATGCACATTGAATATTCGTGTGCTTAGCCTTTTCTCAAAATATATGTTGGGGTTTTTTGTTGTTTTTGTTTTGTTTGGGTTTTTTGTCTGACCGTTTGATTGACAGACTTTTTCTTCTTTTGGCTTCAGTGGCAAAATTCTTGCAATCTTGCCTGTGGTTTGGAAATTCTCATTGTGAGATCTTCTTACCTCTCCCACCCTCTCCACTCTGGAGATGCATTTTACCCTGTAAATATCCCCTGAATCTGTCCCTCTATCCCTACTGCCATGATCTTAGTTCAAGTTCTTTAATCTGCCCCATAGACAGTCTTAGAATTCACCATTCACCTAATCATTTCTGGTGTGATCTTTCTTTGCTTAGATACTTGGTACACATTGTGTTGGGGGAGGGGGCGGTGCAGATGTTGGCTATCTCTTACTTGCAGTGCAGCGGCTAGTTCAGCTTCCTGCCTGGTCTGTCTTTCTTTAGGAAATACACCATAATCAGCCCTTTATGTACAAAGTAAATGAAGCACTCCATTCTCTTGAGAGAAATTGCAGTCACTATAACTCTCAATAAAAAAGGCTACAGACAGATATTAAGTGTTCTCTGTAAATGTGAATCAACCACATCTCGTGTAGGACCATGTTCTTTCAAAATTAGCAAAATTATAATCTAGATTAGATTCTAGATCTTAGAGAAATGCTCTCCCCTATTATAATTTAAGATTGACTTGTGTGCCTCAGCTTAAATAATATCCTTTAAGATTTAATTCCAGCTTGACTAAATGTGCCATGTAATTTATTACATTTGCCTTAGCTGGCTTCTAGAGCTCAACCTGTACTTTCAAGATGGAGTTTCTCCTGAAAGACATAGGTGTTCCTACTTAAATATTCTGAAAAGAATATGTGTAAAAGAAACATATTTGGGGGGAAGGACAGATCTTCTTCCTCTTGCTTGGAGCTAGGTAGAGTGGTGTCAGTAATCCTAGACCAATATTTTTTTACTTGAGAGAGGGCCTTCTGGTAAGGATGAAGAAACTGAGGTTGGCTGAGCCTGTATTTATGTAGTATCCAAGGTCCTTCCTGGTCTAGTCCATCTACCTTACGTACTGTAATTGCTGTCTTTGGTGCTTAATAAGTGACCAACACTTAGTAGGTACCCCATAAGTGTTGTTAAATAAGACAGTAGATGAGCATTCTCATATACCTTCTTTCACACAGTTCTATCCTAGCTTTCCCCAAACATCCCAAAGAAACATGTGGAACTTTATAACTTCTCTGCTACAAGGAAAATGGTGTCCAGAATCAGCATGAGAGATACCAGTTTGCCCACCTTCTAATTTCCTTAATGCCTAAGTGTCCGGTCCACATCCATCTCCAGTACTCATGTCAGTGCTCTAAACTGCAACATTGAAAGAACTTACCTCCTTTCTTAGTATCTTTTCCATAGCCTGGAGCAAAGACCAGTTTAGGGTACAGTTTCTTCTGTTTCTTCAAAGCATAGACTTCTGAGTATTTCCCTTCACTCTCGAAGTCCTTGTCAGTAGAAAACCTTAACAACAAAAAATATGCACTCCATTTAGGAATCCTAGAGTGGGAGTTCATGGCACCAATCACTTTAAACTGATTCCATCCTCAGAGATCCCAAAGGAGAAGTGTTGATTGGTACAGAGTGGGATTGTTGTTCAGTGGCCAGGGAAGTGACACAGCAACCCTTCCAGATACTTGGGAATCTGTTATCTTCTCCAATCTACATAGCTAGCTTCAAATAAATACCTCTTTTATCTTTGTATTGTCCTAATTTTTTAATGATTAACAAGGATATTTTATTGTGGGAACTAAGTCAAATCTTTTTTAAATTTAATTTTGTCAAGGTGATACTATAATTATTAACTCATACTGAGTTTACTCCTGTTCGTGTGTGTGTGTGTGTGTGTGTGTGTGTGTGTGTGTGTGTGTCCTCAGAACAGACTATAGAATTCAGCCCTTCCCTTCATTCTAGAAACTGGCTACTTGAGTTTATCATTGCTATGTCTCTTTTATTAGCATCTCAAAGAGATTTGTTTGTTTGTTCTTGGTCAGTTGTGGGACCTGAACTCTGGCCCTGGGTCCTGTCCCTCGGCTCTCTACCACTTGAGCCACAGCGCCACTTCCAGCTTTTTCTGCTTATGTGGTGCTGAGGAATCAAATCCAGGGCCTCATACATGCAAGGCAAGCACTCTACCACTGAGCCACCTTCCCAGCCCCATCTCAATGAGGTTGAAGGTCAGGTAGGGAAACTGTCTTATAGTTATATGGCTGGACTGTTCCCTATGACCAAAAGTATGTGAAGAACATTCTCACTGCTCCCTCTTCAATACAAACTTATCCCAAACCCCTTTGAGTCTCCTTTTGTGTTGAATTGTATTAGAAAGAGAGATTAACATAAAGACAAGACAGAAGAAATAAGTACAAGCAACCCACTGCCTTCACCTAAACCACTGTTTTTTCTTGGGTGTGGAATCGTCCATCCTTTTCAAAGGGAAGGTTGTTTTCTTTTCCTGAGGCATCTTGGGTAGGCAGACTTTCTCAGTGGGTTTAGGCTGACAGCAAATCTCCTGTGGCAAGGCAAGAAGAGTAAAGGAGGAAGTGAGATCTGAGTCCCTTGGAATTTAAAGGCTGGACTGAGTTTCAGGACTGTTATAATTTCCCTAAACTGGTACAACAAAGCCTATGGGAGAGGGAAGTGAGAACTGGGATACCAGGATAATGTTTATCTACCTCATTGCCAGTTACTACACCTTGGAAGTGAATGGAGGAGGATATGGTTTTGGAAAGGGTAAATCAGTAAATCACCTGGGCATCAAATATGTGGCAATATATTAGGGAATAGATCCATGAGCTTCTACCTTCCTTTCTTAGTGATTGCTGCCCTTCTCCATTTTCCTTTCTCTGTCTGCAATGAAAGGCATGAAATGGAGGATTTGTAAGCTAATAATTTTATCATTCCTAAAGGTCATAGAATCAAAGACTTTCAGAGTCTTAATTCCAGTCTGACTCTTCAACTGACACTCATGTCTCCTCTATAATTTCACAATCAAGCACTCATTCTTCCTATACCAAAAAAAAAGAAGAAATGTAGTTTCATTTTCAATTAACCAATCATTATTTTTCTGCAAAACAGAAAAATCGAATGCTTCTTCCACAGACCTCAAAAAAATTGAATAAATCTATCATTTTCCTCCTAGACTTCATTTCTTCCAGGCTAAAATATAGTCAATATCTTGAACTTTTCTTCTTATAGCATGGCTTTAGTTATCTCATTTTCCAATTTATCTCACTTGGGAAAATTGAAATTTATCTTTTTTTTCTTAATATATGGCAGTCTGAAATGAAGACAAAATGTCAGGTGCTGCATTGCAGGGAACATCCCTTGTCCCCATTTGGTCAAAATGGTTACCTCCCCTGACAGCCTTAGCTAACCCCATGATCTAAAACTGCCCCTCATACATCACCACATTCTACTGTTTGTCCTGCTTTGTCTGGTACCTGACACATTGTATGTACTCTGTGTAATCATTTATTTGCTTATAGTCTGTTTACCTTGCTACACTTAAACTTCATAAAGGCAAAGACTTTGGCTTAGTCATTGATTTAGCACTAGCATCCTTTAATAGTGTATTGTTCATAGTAAGTGCTCAATAAATATTTGTTGAATGAATGACCAATCAAGATATTGGGCGTTTTCTTTTAGAATCTTTTCAAACATACTTGCTGTTACTAAACTATGTCTTTTTTTAAAAAAAAAATTCTAACTCATTCTCTTTAAGCTTTAGCTTTAAGTAATAAGAATCTAATTCAAGTTACCTAATTAATAGGTGTCTTAATGACAGAACATGTGCTAGGAACTAAGTCATAGCTAATGACTCCAGCCAAAACAAGAGCAGAACTAACCTCATCAAAGGAAAACAGAAAAAGTTATTAAGAATCCATGATGGCCCCAAGGACCACCATCTTATTTTGACCCTAGCATATCACTAACACATCCCTCCTGCTTGCCTCCTGTCTGCTTTCTTTCTCTGTCTCTTGTTCATTCCTTAACTTCTCCCTACCATTTCCATCTGTTCCTCCTTCCCTCTCTCCTTCCCTATAACTTCCACCTGCCCTTCTTCCTCGTGGAGGTCCTTTTATGGCCTCCTTCTGTGTACCATTTCAGCTCCCATTTCCATTGCCTTAATATTTTCATTGCCCAATGTAAGGTGTCTGGGCCAAGCATTTAACTGTGAAAGAAACATCTATGTATTTCACAATTTGACTACTAGATCCCACACTATTTCTAAAGCATGTAAGTCTGAACATTAATGCTTTTCTTGTACTCCATTCTAGGTTCAACAAAGATTGCCATTCTCAGGAAAGGAAGAGGCTACCATATGGATGAAGAACCACCATAGATATTGTATATGCTAGATTTTACCATTCAGAGAGCCTTACCATCCATTAATCCAATTTAACTGATATGACAATATGTTCATGGGTATGATTTGGTTCTACCTCTGACCTCAAGGGTCCACAAAGGTCTAAAGCTCCTCTTGTGTCCAGGCTACCTGTTAGCCTTGTTTTCCTTCTCTGGATTGAGCAAGGAGACAGTCCTGGCCTGGCATTTGTTTCACAGAGCACATTATACCCACTAGCATGACACATACCCACTGAGCTTACCTTCAAAGAACACAAATTTGAGACCCAAGAGAACACAGGCAGGCAATGAAGTCATTCATTCCTTTGCCAACATTGGATATTGGCATTCAATCTTCCACTTGAAGAAGAATCTAACACAGTCATTCATTTAGCAACTAAACAAACACTAATTCCAAATTCACCACATTATGTTAGAAGGATATGCCTTGGGATACCCGACTCCCAATAATCTTTTGTTTGCACTTTCACTTATTTTTTTCCTCTTAGACTAAACCTGCCTTGAGGGCTGTCAACAACTTTCTTTTGTTGTCTTTCCTAAATATCTCTTAAATCAATTCCCTTCACTTCTGTTACTGACTTCATTTGAACCTTTAGTATCTCTTTATCTTGACTATTATAGTAATAGCATAACTAATCTTTCTGGGGCTTGTCTTTTCCACAACTAATGTACCTTTCTTCAGCCTGCAAAACACTTCCTGAAACACAAATTTGATTATACCCTTTTATCTCCTGCCATTTACTCTCTTAAATCTCTCTGAAAGCACCTCACATTCTCCCATCTTTAAGCCTTCACACTTTGCTTTGATTGGAACATTCTCCTATTCTTTTATTGTGAGTTACTTCCTGATGATTCCCTTTTCCCAAACAGAGCCACAGCTCTCCCTTCTACATTACTTCTATATTTTGTATATTCTTTGATTATCCATATATCCTGGTATAGTAGAATTACATTTATATATTCTGTTTATTGATCTCCTATTAGATTCCCAATTTCCAGTTAAAACTCCATATTATCCCTGCATTTTACAAATGTTTCCTAGGCCCTCCAGGTTCTCTTTTGTGATAACCTATGTCCAGGAATGAGAAAGAAGAGGGAGCTTCTCAAGTATGAGGCTTGGAGTTAAGTTAGCTTCTTTCTCCAAGCGAACTCCTAAATTTTTAGGGACCATTACCTGGAGTATCATCCTGGAAAAGTATTTTGGATCATTATCCTGATTGACATAGCTGGGAAGTGGGTTGTTGGTCATGATCAGTGAGGTCATATCCTGATCAAACTCCGATAGTTTGAACATGAAGCTGGTGATATTTCTGTTTCGAATCAGAAGCTTATGCAGTGAGGAGGGCTTTAAAGGCTCATAGTACAGGGCCTGGGCAGATACAGAAAGATTTCCAGAAAGACAAAGATTAGACTAAGACAAAAGTAGCAGATCAGTTGGCTAATCTTTGGCCTCTGAGAAACTGGGTCAAGGCAAGCAAGGGCCGAACAAATCTACCCATAATCTTCAGTATCGTCTGAAACTTTCAGAAGCTTTCTTATCCAATCTGAACATCCATTCCCCTGCCTATAAACTAAGGGGCTAGGGAAATGCAACTGAAAAAGTTTCCACAGGAACAGGAACAAGATGATTGAAGTCTTGCAAAGAAGGGTAATGGGGCTGGGGATTTAGCTCAGTGGTAGAGAACTTGCCAAAAATGTGCAAGATTAAGGGTTTAATTCTCAGTACATACTGTCCCCTCTACCCCCCCACACAAATAAAATTGTTGTAAATAAATTATCTTTTTTAAAAATTGTATAATGTGATGCCCAATAGAGTGAGAGAAACTAAGTAGTTTCTATGTGGCTCTAGCTGATTGGCTTTCTTTCCACACAGGGACCATAGCTCAAGGCTTCCTTTATTTGTCTTCCCACCCACCCACCAACACCTCTCCTCAGGCATCTTGCTTTAACTGGTCTTCATAAGCTCAGAAAGGAAAGGCCCTCAAGAAACCCTGCTTGTAACCTAAGGTGTGGGTGGGGGAAGGGGCAGTCCCATAGAGTTTGCTTTTCTCTCAATAGGAGGATTAGAAAGAAAGAGAGGAATAGGGATTCGAAATATCTTCTCTGGTGATAAGTGTGTTTTCTCCAACTGGGGGGAAAAAACCAAAACAAAAAACACCCATCTACAGAGACCACTTTCCTTCCAGGTCCCATTTCACCCCCTGATGCCAGGTAGGACCTCAGACTAAATCTCTGGAGTTGCTCTGACTCCCTGTCCTAGGAGGAAGGGGGCAGGTGAGTTATGGAGGCTTTTGGAGTACTGTGCAGTGGCCTCTGCACTGCTGAGACACTCCCTTAGAGGTCTTGGGGGAGAGATGCCACCTACCAAATTTGGATGGACTGTGTAATACCGGTTGTTCGCTGGGGTAAATTTTGATGGCCCAACCGTATCAAAACCCTAAAGACAAAAAAAAAATCAGAATTAGTGGTTTCAAGTCACACCAATCTTTTAAAATTTTAATTAGTTGAGTCAGAGTCTAGATTGGCCTAGAATTAGCTCTGTGGCCCAAGCTGTCCTCTAACTTGTGATCTTCCTACCTCAGCCTTCCAAGTGTAGGGATTACAGGTATGTACCAACATTCTCAGTTCAAATGGCACCTCATTCCACTCATCACCTCACCTTATTGTCACTACAAAGAGGTGTACACTAAGAGAACACTGTGCCTCAGGTGTTGGGGCATGGGTTTCTGGAACAAGAGTCACAGCAAGGAGAGCTGGGTTCTGTGACCTACTAATAGGGAAGTTTATACATGGAAACTGGGGCAGCCTTTACAAATGTCAGGTAACGCTGTTAGAAGGTGAAGTAGACAAGGGCAGCACCAAAATTCAGACCAGGACAAATCATTCCATAGACTCCCACCCCCTCCTCTGCCTGTTCCATATCTACAGGAGTCAGATCAGGCGACAGTCACCATGGCAGCAGACAACCTTTAAGGAGAAAGCAAGTAACAAAAGAACAAACAACCTAAAGGTTGTGGGTGCAACGTGGGGGGGGGTGTCGCTAAGGACAATCCTACCAACTGAATAGGGAGTGGCACCCTCACAAAGGATGCGCATTTTGCAATTTTTTTAAAAAAGATCTCTGCAAATTATGATTCATCCAGAGACAATGTGAAAAAGAATCGGTATCTGCTGTCTGCCACTCTGCTTGTTGTACTGGAGGTAGCACTGGTGATTTATGGACTATTGGTGTCCTGTCTGGCAGTGAAGATTGCTAGGTCTCTTCCATTGCCTTCCTGCTGCTCCCTGCACTGCTGCCTCTCGGCTTGCTTAGCTCTAAGTTGTCTAAGGATGAATCAAAGGTAGAAAAACACAAGTAGTTAAAAAGCTCTGAAATTAAGGGAGGAAAAAGAAGAAAGCACAATCCTGTCTTTGGATCCACCTTTTTAAAGCTTGCCATGTCCCCCAAGGAGGTAGTGTATATGATGGGGTGCAGAGGATAGGAGATATGCACTAGAAGTGAATAAAACAAGAAAGCATATGGAGAAAGGGAAGTACTAAGAAAGGAATAGAACCATGAGAGAGGTAACATTATTATGCTACAGGAGGAAAATGCTAGCAGTGGGCATTCTTGAGGATTGGATAAAACACCAGAAAAGCAATAACTCCATATGCTCCTTTAGGAAAGATGAGCTGAAATATGGTATCAGTCCATAGATACAATGTTTTTATTTCTATTGTCTTTTGAAAACAAGTCTATGCACTCAAAACAAAAATGTATTAAAAACCTGCTTCACCACTATGACACATGGAATCTATTTATAATCAGTAGAAGTCTAGGAATATTTCATTTGGGGTATGAAGAGTTATTCTCTTAAAGGTTTGTTATATTTTTAGGGGGGAAATTCTCTAAGGAAAATGTTTTAACTTCTGAAGTTGTCTGAGGTATTGCATCTCGGTCCCAAATTATCTCCCAGCAGTTGACTTAAACTTACAAGAACGTTCAAATTGGAATATGTTTTTAATTTTGTTATGTTGACTTGAATTATCACTGGCAGTTGAAGTGAAAGTTGATCCGGAAAATTCACTTGAGTATGATAATCTTGGGAAAGCAATGGAATTCTGGCACAAGAAGTAGGCTTGAAGTCTAGGTAAGTCTGGGTTTAAAAGTCCCCAAAATAGGTTTCTAGTTCCTAGGTTTTTTGTGTTTCTGGAGTGTGTGTGTGTGTGTGTGTGTGTGTGTGTATTTCTCACTTCTGTGCCTCTATTTTTCTTTCTCTAAGTGAGATAAATTAACCTTGTTTTATGTAGATATTTTACTCCTTTTTGCTTCCTAATAGGAAGTTTATAGAGCCAATTTGTAAGGTATCCTAAGCAACCTCAAAGAAAGATGACACCAGAATGCTTATTACTCACTTACCAAGTCACCATCATCAGTGTTTTGTTTCCAGAGTTTAACTGGGGTAGTTTCTGAAGCCTTTGGTGTGGCAATCTGAACCCTGAAAAAGAGGCAGAACATCTCAATGCATTTGTTGACTCAGAGTCCTGGCCTTCAGCATGTTCTCAATCTCCCCCAGCTAAGTTCAGGAGCTACACAAGAGGCTGAGATCTGAGGATTGTGTTTCAAAGCTGGCCCCACCAGGAAGGTCTGTGAGACTCCAATTAACCACCAAAAAAAGCCAGAAGTGGCGGGATTTTCTTTCTAGAACTAGTGTAGAAAAGGAATCTCCAATAGCAAATATTTTAATATCTCATTCTGCTTCTTGACTTACTTCTCTATCCCCCACTAGATACCAGATCCCTTTAGGAGAAAAGGGTAAGAGAAAAAATTACAATGTTGAATAATAAAGCAATAATAAAGCATAAATTTTTGGATTCCTTTTCTTTTTAAGCCCATTTGCTGCATGCCCTTAGTGAAATATTCTCATCACCAAAATCAGGCTAATACTACAAATAAGTGGTCCCCTTCCTCTTTAGAGATGGTTCCATTTGGAAGTTAAACTAACTCAAGTACAGAATTCTGCAAGTACCTCGACTGAACCTCTCTTTCTTTTAAAAATAAAGACAGTCGTGAGGACGAAATATGAAAAGTAGAAATAGCTAAACTATGCTTTTGGTAGATAAACTAGCTATATTCATTTGGTGCAAATAATCCCAAATCCAGGATCAAATTCTGCTCATGGATATTAACTTTTTTTTCTTCTCAGTCTTGGGGTTTGAACTCAGGGCCTGGGCACTGTCCCGGAACTTCTTTTGCTCAAGGCTGGATACGCTACCACTTGAGCCACAGCGCCACTTCTATCTTTTTCTGTTTAGGTGGTGCTAAGGAATTGAACCCAGGCTTCATGCATACTAGGCAAACATTCTACCCCAAGCCACATTCCCAGCCCAAACATTAGCTCTAATCTATTGTTAGTGTGCCCTCCCTCTCAGGCCCTCAGCTCCTCCCACTTCAACAGTCTCCACCCAGACCTGAACTCCACCCTACCCTAGAACTCTCCCAGGATAGGTCCCCACACTCTCCAGCATACCTCCCATCTCTAGCAGCAATGTTACAATGATGCCCCTGAACAGGGAAAGAAGCCAAATTGCTCCCTCTCTGGTGATGGAGATGGCCTTGTCAGCCCCTCTGATAAACCCCTTCTCCGGACTGTGTCCTCATGGTTTTCTCCGATGGGTGCTTTCATTACTGACTACCAGTTGCACTACTAATTCAGGCAAAATTAATGGTCTTAAAATTGTTCCCTTGGGCTGGGAAGGTGGCTCAGTGGTAGAGCGCATGCCTTGCATGTCAGAGGCCCTGGGTTCGATTCCTCAGCACCACATAAGCGGAAAAATCTGGAAGTAGTACTGTGACTCAAGTGGTAGGGCTCTAGCCTTGAGCTGAAGAGCTGAGGGACAGCGCCCAGGCCCAGAGTTCAGGCCCCATGACTGGACCCAAAAAAAATAAAAATAAAAATAAAAGTGTTCCTGAGGGGAGTAGGAGTCCCATTGTGGGCAAACCAAAATAAATTCATTCTATCTTACAGCTTGTGCTTTTTTAATGTATCCTTTTGCTGTAAGTACTCAATAATTAATCATCTACATAACCATTATTGCAGTACTTATCAAAATGATTCTTGGATGCCAAAAAGGCAGCGAAGTATTCCAGTCGTCAAGGCCAATTTAAAAGCCAGGCGTTACATGCAAAGTGGCTTCTCAGCCCAATAAGTGCTTGTCTACAACAGCCTAGGGCTTTCTTTTTGGCAAAGGCATTCTAACTGCTATGTGAAACACAGATCTAGCTCTGGTTTTTGATCTACAATTGATTAGCCAATTAAAATATATTTAATGACGGTCTGCTCTGTGATTAACATAGCTCATGGTGCTGTGTTGCACATTATAAAGTGGTGTTTATAATTTAGGTAAGCAAACAAGACTACACACTTGGAATGTGTCTTCTGGCTCATTGCTGTTCACTGATAATTCGGCCAACCTAAGACAGGTAGGGGTTCATGCAAGTCCAAATTCAATGGTTCTGAATAGTTCACATTCTGCGGGGATGCAGTTCAATCCAAACATTCCTTCCTTGGCACTCACTGTGTGCCCAGCCCCATTCCTGATCCTGTGCGGAACACAAATTAAAACCAAGTGATGATACTATAGATAGAAAAAATGCACAAAATACAATAATATTTTTCCTCAAGAAAATTGTACTAGTAAATGTAGATGATAATGAAAAATACATGCTAATACATTATTTAAATCACTTCCGCTCTTGGGAGTGGTGTTTTAACTTCTTCATCTATGAAGTTAAGTCATTAATGATTTTATTGTGATTTTACTGTGACATTCTAGTTCATAAAGGTGGTGAGATTTATCTACATAAGATCAGAAATAAAATAAACTGGTATGGATCCACAGTAGAGCAAAGTTGGAGGAACTGCCATCTTTCACCTCTTCTTTCAACTTGTAAGTATGATCAACAATATCTAAGGCCTGAATGGGTATACGTTGAGGATGGGGTACTGCTATGCTTTTTTATGTAGACAGTTAGAAATGGAGGTACAGATGTAGATGTGGAACCCATCATTTAGAGACAATGGAAGTCAATGAAGCATGGGGTAACACAGTTCCCTAAAGGATGCAGAATTTGAGCAGAACATTGCAGGGAAGCGCATGGAGCAGCCTAATGGGAACTTGGTGGCTTAGTTGGTTTTAGTAGTAAGAAATAATGAAGAGTGTGGAATCACATCAGGGAAGCTTTGAAAATTAAGTAGAACATGGGTAAGACCTATCAGCCCAAGTTCCTATAAGGACCAGGGATTTGAAAAAATGAGCTATGTTTATATTAAGTGATTTTTTAAAGGATTTATGTCTAGTTTGGTTGCCTGTACATAAATCCTAAGGGTGATTGTCCAGAATTTGTGACTAGACTGAATTAAGCCCTGGAAGTACCTTTCTAAGGAAATAGAAAACTATGTTCTTTAACCGTCTCTCACATTCAGTTTTTCAGAAACTCTAAGTCCATAAACCAGGCACTGGTGGCTCACACCTGTAATCCTACCTACTCTGGAGGCTGAGATCTGAGGATTGTAGTTCAAATCCAGCCCAGTCAGAAAAGTTCATGAGGCTCTTATCTCCAATTGATCACAGAAAAGGCTGGAAGTGATGTTGCAGCTCAAGTGGTAGAGTGCTAGCGTTGAGCAAAAGGAGATCAGGGACACTGCCCAGACCCAGAGTTCAAGCCCCAGGACTGGCAAAAAAAAAAGGCTATCAAGTTATGAGTTACAAGTCTTTTGTTGCTTGTGAACAACTCAGACAGAAAAAATGTCACACAAATAGACAAAAACTACAAACAAAATAAATAGAAAGATATAACTGAGCATGTTGATACATGCCAACAATCCTAGTGCCTGAGGAGACTATGGTCGGAGGATCATTTGAGTCCAAGAGTTCAAAACCAGACTAGACAATATAGCAAGACAGTTTTAAAATGAAAGAGAAATGACAGAATAAGAGAGGGCAGAGGAGGAGAACAGAGGAAGAGAAACAGGAAGAAAAGGAGTTTTGAAGAAAAGGAGAAGAAAAGAAGACAAGAGAAAACAATACAACATAAGATGAGAAAGAGCTTATAAATGATACCTCTAAAGACATCAGGAAATTTCAGGGAGGAAGATGAAATTTCTTGACGACTCTCAATGACTCTTAATGATTCTCTTTTGGATTCTGGAGACAATACAGGGAATTTTAGATGAATGGACAATCTAGAATGCTGAAATATTCTTTGCTAAGGATAACATGGAGACATTTAATCTGTAGCAACAAACCAGATTCACCTTTTATTTATTATTTATCCTATATGGTGGGACTTAGTTCTTAAACATACCAGGCAGGACTGGGAAGGTGACTCAGTGGTATAGTGCTTGCCTCGCATGTATGAGGCCCGGGGTTCAATTCCTCAGCACCACATAAGCAGAAAAAGCCAGAAATGGTGCTGTGGCTCAAGTGGTAGAGCGCTCGCCTTGAGCTGAAGAGCTGAGGGACAGCGCCCAGGCCCAGAGATCAGGCCACATAACCAACCAAAAAACAAACAAACAAAAAAACATGGCAGGCAAATGCTCTGCTACTCCCAGCCCCAGAATCATCATTTAAATCACTTGCTAGAAATTCCTCATCCAGTCCTTCATACTCAACTGATCAAAATCAAAATTGATCATTTATCCTCCAAACTTACTTTGTTTTATTCTCTAATTTGGTATACTGCATCTTTTTTTACACAAATAATAAAGCTAATGTGATTATACTCATTATTCCAAGGATTTATGTTTGATTCCCAATGCCTAAGATGGTTTAATATGCTATAAATATTCAATAAGTATGTGGAAATAATTTCTGGCTTTGAATGCCTAACATACAAAGTATGTGAGGTCACAAATACATGTAAAATTCACATTTCCATTTTTAAAGGATCTGACTACCAGGAAATCATACATCACTTGCATATAAGAAAAATACAAAAGCTGGGTGCTTGTAGTTCATGCCTATAATCTTAGCTACTCAGGTGGCTGAGATCTGAGGATTGCAGTTCAAAGCCAGCCTGGGAAGGAAAGTTGGTGAGACTTTTATCACCAATTAACCATCAGAAAACTGGAACTGGAGTTGTGGTTCAAAGTGGTAGAGCAATGGCCTTGAGCAAAACGAGCTCAGGGACAACACCCAGGACCTGAGTTCAAGCCCCACAACCTACAAAAAGAAAAAGAAGAAAGAAAGAGGGGGGGGGAGGGAGGGAGGGAGGGAAGGAAGGAAGGAAGGGCTCAGGGAGGGGCTCATGAGGTTGACACTTGAGGATCACAGTTTAAAGATCACAGTTTAAAGCCAGCCTAAGTAGAAAGACCATGAGACTCTTATCTATAACTGCCCCCTCCCCTTGCAAAAAAAGCTAGAAGTGGAGTTGTAGCTCAAGTGGTAGAGTGCTAGCCTTGAGCACAAAAGCTCAGGGACAGCGCCCAGGCCCTGAGTTCAAGCCCCAGGACCTGCACAAACAAACAAACAAACCCTTACAGATTGAAAACCAATATGCTTGAGTCCGTGGAAGAGCAGGAGTTGCTTGAAGAGTCTCTTTTTCTCAGAGACACTGGAGCTGCATCAACCAAATCCCTTTCCTACAACTCCTTCAGTATTAATCTACAAGTATACAGTCCCTTCTTATAGTTATCCTCCTTGAACTTTCCACACTCAAAGGGAGACTACCCCTCAGGTAACAGCTAGGCAGAAAACATGGGGTACTGGAAGTGACACAGTGCTTTCCTAGAGTTAGGATGTCAGAAACCAAAGAGTGGGAGGTAAAAGCACAAAGCAGGAAGAACTCCTTCTTCCATTTCTGTTTGTAGGACAGAAATGTTTACCTGTATATCCTACAACCCTTTTGGAAGTATTGGTATGGAAAGGAAGAGTGTTAGATAGAAATAACCACTCTTTTTCCCTTCTATAATGAAAAAGTGATGCATGTAAGTGCTAAGCAAGAGTAACTCAACCCAGCTTTTGGCCCTTCTCTGCTCAAACAGATGCCAAAAACACATGAGATGTGACTTCTCCTTTACCAGAGGAGGTCTCTTTCTAGTCCTGGAGGATGTATTTGGGAGTCTAATGTTTCGGGATCCAGACAACAATCTCCAATCCAGCTTCTACCAAAATAAAACCCAGGGGCTGGGAAGGTAGCTCAGCGGTAGAGTGCATACCTTGCAAGCATGAGGCCCTGGGTTCGATTCCTCAGCTCCACATAAACAGAAAAAGCCATAAGTGGTGCTGTGGCTCCAGTGGTAGAGCACTAGCCTTAAGCTGAAGAGCTGAGGGACAGCGCCCAGACCCAGAGTTCAGGCCCCATGACCGGCAAAAAAAAAAAAACAAAAACAAAATAAAACCAAAAACCAAAACCGTGATATTTTGAACTTACCTAATTCTTGCATAGGTTTCTCAATTGCTTTAGATGGAGACTGATTTGATGGAGAAGAGATGTGATAAGTACCTTAAATAGGTCAACATCTTGGCTGCAGCAAACGCTGTAACTGTATGTTATACTGTTGTATCCTAGAACCAGGGACTAGCAATCCCAGAAAGTTTTCTCCTTAGCAAAGCAAAATAGGAAACCTAAGCCTGGGGATTGATTATGCAGGAACTTTTCCTAGCAGCCCTTCATCTATAGACAGAGTGGAACTGGGGTGTACAAATTTATTTACCCCATCTGTTGACCCACACCCTATCTAACAGAATTTACATTATTCCCAAATGAATGAGTGGATGATAATTATCAGAGCTCACTCGTCCTTGGAGGAGGTACACTGCTGGGAGCTGTATCTGTTCTTGTGTGTCTAATAGACATTGCAGATTTAACAGGTTCAAAATGATTCTTGATTCTCTCCTTCAAACCCTTATTTCAGTAAAGCAGCATTGCTACTCATTCTATTAGCTAAGTAAAAACATTTACAGGTATGCTTGCTTTCTCTCATTCCTTCACTTTATATATCTCATATATTCATTGTTAAGTTCTGCCAATTCTATCTTCAAATAAATTCCAGGTCTGATATCAGAGTGCTTTCAGTCACCGGGTTCAAGCTGAAGCTTCTTTTCACTTTGGCCTGCTCAAGTACATTGAGGCTTTTCTTGGTATGACTCTAGTGAGAAAGAGAGAGAGGAGGGGGAAGTGAGTGGTACTAAGGGTGCCACTGTATTAGGCTACAATTAGACTGCGTGTTGGAGGCTCTTATCAGCTCTCAGCCATGAGAAATTATAGACATTTTGTAAGAAAAAAATTATAAATGGTCTTGCTCAGTTCCTTAAGAAGAGTCTAAGCTACTAAAGAGGCTGAGATTTGGGGAATCAAGATTTCAAAGGAAGTCCTAGTAGAAAAGTTTGCAAGACTCCATCTCCAGCTAGCCAGCAAAATACCAGAGCAGAGGAAGGCATGGCCCAAGTGGTAGAGTACCAGCTATAAGCAAGAAAGCTGAAGGAGAATGTAAGGTGCACACCCCCCCCACCTCCCATACACAAGTCTAAAGTCTATAGCCTAAGCACACCAGTTTCCTGAATTTGAAAGCTAACACATAGGCAATAAGAAGAGAAAGTATAACATATATTTCTTCTTCCTCCTCCTCCTCCTCCTCCTCTTCTTCTTTTTTGGGGGGGGCTGGTGGTTGTGGGTCTTGAAGTCTGGGCCTGGGTGCTGTCCCTGAGCTCTTCAGCTCAAGGCTAGTGCTGTATCAATTCCAGTTTTCTGGTGGGTAAATGGAGATAAGAGTCTCATGGATATTCCTGCCCAGGCTGGCTCTGAACAGCAATCCTCAGATCTCAGCCTCCTGAGTAGCTAGGATTACAGGCATGAGCTACCAGCACCCAATAACATATATTTCTTTAAAAAATTAATTTTATTAATTTTATTTTATTGTTAAGATCCTGTACGGAGGGGTTACAGTGACATGAGTAAGGCAATAACATTACTTGTCGATCATTGTACCCCTTTCCTTCCTTCCTTGTTGTTGTCCCACTATCCTTTTCCCCTCCCCCACCTCCTCATTGCTCCCCTCCACTCCCCCATGCCCCGGCCTGAAATTTGTTTCCAATATTCTGTCTTCTGTGTATCCTTGTTGCAATGGGGCAACCTGTGTCCTTGTTTCAGCGTTTTCCAGTAACATGTATTTCCTTTATTCTTTCTTTCTGTTTTTTTTGTTGGTAGTGGGGGCTTGAACTCTGGACCTGGGCACTGTCCCTCAGTTCTTCTGCTCAAGGCTAGCGCTCTACCACTTGAGTCATAGCACCACTTGCAGCTTTTTTTTTCTGCTTATGTGGTGCTGAGGAATCGAACCAAGGGCCTAGAGCTCTACCACTGAGCCCCCTTCCCAGCCCCCAATAACATATATCTCTATAGACTGATCGTTTTAATATTAAAAAAACAGAACTTTCTTGCTCCAAATCTGTTGATATCTTTCTGTTATTTTGCTTGTCATATTATATAAGACCCTCTGCGGTTCTACCTCCTCCTCCCTTCATCTCTGGCTACTCTTCCATCATATCTGCATCCTAGACTTCTTACATTCTTGACAAAGGGCATTCCCCTCCAGGGCTCTCTTTTATTCTATTTTCAAGACCATTCACTGACTTACTTCCTCATTTCATTTTTCTGCTCTCCTTATAAGAAAGGTCTTCTTAATAGCAACTACCTCTTAGTCAACTTTTATCTCTTTATTATGCTTTATTGTTCTTCAAAGCCATTAAAATCATCCCTTATGTATGTGTTCATTTAGTACCCATTCTTTCATGAGTTCATGCCCTCCAAATGTGGCGAGGATTATGCTCCATTGCCTGGGGCAGTGGTAATTATGGGAACTAAGTAAACATTTGTTGATGGAATGGGTGATGGAGAACTCTACTGAAAAGTTGCAGTTGAGATGGTCGGTTTTAATTTATTAGCATTAAGCATTCTTGGTGGTTCCTGACAGCCATCCTAAATTTTCTTCCTTTTTTTCCTATTCACAAAGAATACTAGAACTAAGGGGGAAAAATCAGATAGAACCAAAATCACAGGATTTTTGTGGTTTATCTATAGCCCCTCTGAGGCATTTTGCTACATGCCCATCCCCTGCTCTGCATTCCCATTTGACCCTAATATGTCTATTACTTATGATCAGATCACATCTATGAGTACTATAGCAATACAGCAATGGTTAGCTAAAGAAAAAGAAGCCTCAGGAGAAGGATTGGAATTGGGGGGGGGGAGGGGGGAAGCTGGGAAGGGATGTGAAGGGTAAACAAAGGAGGAGGCTGCAATTCTTGGTAAGAAATGTACGCATTATCCCGCCCATGTAATTGTAACCCCTCTGTACAGTATGTTCACAAATAAAATAAAATAAAATTTAAAAAAAAGAAAAAGAAGCCTCTTCTTACAAGAATAAAGCAATGTCATCCTAAAGGCTGCAAAATTAATACATAGATCTTCTTATGCCTTTAATTATAGAATCATGGTGACCCAGAAATAGTAGGAGGGTCTGGCTAGGAAGGCAAGGGCAACCTACTGATGAGTCAAATGAACGGAGAACTTGAGAGTGTTAGTTTTAGAAATGACAGAATGTGGGGCTGGGAATGTGGCTTAGTGGTAGAGGGCTTGCCTATTCATGAAGCCTGGGGTTTGATTCCTCAGTACCACTTAAACAGAAAAAGCTGGACGTGGCACTGTGACTCAAGTGGTAGAGTGCTAGCCTTGAGCAAAAGAAGTTCAGGGACAGTGCCACATGCCCTGAGTTCAAGTCCTAGGATGGCCAAAAAAAATTGACAGAATGCAAACTAGGAATATATCAGCAGATGAACAAAAACTGTGAGATTTTAAATGGTGAAACTAGTCACAAAAGAACAAAAAAGATGACTATCATCTGATTTTTCTATCTGGATCAAACTGTTCTTACATTTGAAGAGTAGTCTAGGAAAGTTGGGAGATATTTTTGATGATAATGGGTCTCAGAGAGTTTTAAAGGAATGGTACTAGGAAACAATTTGGGATTACACCTCAAGAAGTCTAGATCCGGGGAAAGTATTAGAAGTCGCCCCCTGATGGTCACAGGTAGAAAGCAAGTGGGGGACTTTACCTTGATGACGGAGACAATTACTCAAGATGTTAAGAGCATCTGAAAAATGATCAAGGGGTCCTTTGGATATGTTTTTGTGGGTATGGGGTGATGTGGATTTTGTAGGTAGGTTGGCATGGCTGGCACAGACCACCAGGTATTGTGGGTGGACAGCACTTTCAGCGATGAAATTCACCCTAAGTAGCCACACAACAGAACAAGTCTAGGGTATCATAGGGAAACAGACTGGCCAGATCTTCTTCCTCTTTCTTTTCTTCTTCCTCTTCCTTCTCCTCCTCCTTCTCCTCTGACTCCTCCTCTTCCTCCTCCTCTTCTTCTTCTTCTTCACAAATTTTGTACATACTGCCTGTTGAAATTTTAAAGGTAATTACTAGGGGAATGTATGAATGTTTCCAATAGAACATCTTTCTTGTTAATACTATAAAATATCTCTTCACTTTTAAATACTCATAGACCATATCTCTCAATACATTGTTCTTTATTTGTCATCTAAGAAAAAAATGTTTGCACCAATATGACTTTTAAAATGTGTATTTTATGAACCCCAAGAAATGGACACAAGAGGTTCTTCTTCGTTGTTGTTTTTAATGTACTGTGTGACTTATTCTTTGTTTCTTTTGTATGGTCTTCCTCCTATGGTATATCCCTGTTGCCACTGTATTTGATTTGGTAACTTGCATCTTGTATATACATTTATATAATTTGGGGAAGGGAAGTGGAATAATAAAATGCTGAAACAAGGACACAGGATGACACATTGCAACAATGAAACTCGCAAGACACTGTTAGAAATGAACCTTACAGATTTAAAGAGGGTAATGGGGGAGGCAGGAGAGGGAAGGGATAGTGGGAGAAAAAACAAAGGAGGGGTAACAATGCCCAACAAGAAATGTACTCATTACCTTTCTGATGTAACTGTAACTGCTCTGTACAGCATCTTTACAAGAAAATAGAATTTTTAAAAAAGAAACTGAAAAAAGTGTGTTTTAAAGAATGTGCAAATAATTGATTTACATTCCAAGTACAATCGCTAGAATGTGGAAATCATATGTAGTCATTTTATAAAGTGTAAGTATTGACGGAAGGATATGAATTTCAGATGTTACCTACATCGAGAGGCTAAACCACTGCATCAAACCACTGCCTGTTAACAATTACATTGTTTCCGATCAGAAATCAATTTTAAAACATTTTCTAATGTTAAAATTTTTAATGAGCTATAAAATGTTTTAAGTTCTTTATGCCTAAAGAACTTAATTGGATAATTTTTGCTGACAGATAACCCATTATAACATTTTCCACTTGAAATAATAAGAAATACTCTGTTACTTTGCATTTACTATTTTTTTTATGCTAGAACTAGGGCTTGAACTCCAGGCCTCATGCTCTCTCTTGGCTTTTTCACTCAAGACTGGCACTCTACTGCTTAAACCACATCTCTACTTGTAGTTTATTAGCTGGTTAATTGGATATAAGAGTCTCATTGGCTTTTCTTCTATGATTTTCAGATCTCAGCCTCTTGAATAGCTAGGATTATAGGCATAAGCCACCAGTGCCCAGCTGGTACTCAGCATTTTACATATAACATCTGTTTTGGTTTTTTTTTGGAAAGGATGATTGATTTAAGTAGGAGACATCTAAAAATAAATGTATCATGTTCAAATAAATAGAATTAACTGAAGAAATGTCTATAATGTAAGGAGACAAAAATAACAAAAGCAAGTAAACTGGGAAATTAAAAAATTAGAAATATCCTAAAAGCTTTAGTGTGACACATATATGTATGTATGTTAGAAACAAGAAATATGAGAATTTGTAAATTAATACATCCAACTTTGGGGATATAGAGTATTTTCTGAGTGGACTTACTTGTTCTATACTAAGAAAAAGGCACAATTTTTAGAGGCAAAACATGCAAATAAGGTATGACTCTGAAAAACTGTCAAATTTCAGTGGAACCTGAAGTAAGAAAAGTTTCTTCAGCTGATTGAGGCTGCAAACAAATATTTCTATCACTTTTCTGTCATGCATGATTCAGTAGTTCCAACGTCACTAAGAGGCTAGGACGATGAAGAGAGCCTGTGTGAAACCTTGGTAGAGAGGATGACATTAGTGACTCCTGTAGGGGTTAAAAAGGACATCTATGTCCCATTGTCAGCAATTAAATATTGTCCTTATGAATACGTTATAGTCCCTTCAGGATCTGAAAAATACAAATGTACTTATGGTTGTCTAATATAATTTGTCTAAAAAATGCCAAATTGGACTTCATAGTGGCTGCCTCCATCTACATTCCCAGCAGCTATTCATGTTGGTCCTTGTATCCTCACAAGTACCTGCTATGGTCAGAAAGCAATGGATCCCTCATTCTGATCCTGGGAGTGTGTCTCCTACTTACAGTGTGGTTTGCTTTGCATCACATCTAAGGTCATTCAAGGATTGCCTTTGGGCTATTGGAGCCACTTATCTCAGAATGTAAGTGCCTAGAAGGTGAGGGATCCCTTCTGGCAGCCTATATAAGCAGGGGACCATCCAGCTGAATTATAAAAGCGTATGTCTTTTGCCTTAAAATGGTTCTGACTGAGGTGTAATAGTTTTTCCCCAGAACTCACCCACAGGATCAGGACTCTATCAGGAACTCTATCCAAAATACATCCTTTGGTGTCTTCTGTTTTTCTATCCTATGCCCCAAACTTGCTTACTAGTTTATCCTGAGATGACTTCCTTAATAAACCATTTGAAAATGAACCTACATTATGTTTTGGCAGCACTGGAGTTTGACCTCAAACTTTTATGCTCATTAGGTAACAGTCTATCATTGGAGCCATGCCCCTAGTCTTTTAGGATTTTGTTTATCAGGTAGAATTTCATGCTTTTTCCTAGGTTGATCTTCAGCTAAGATCTTCTGATTTGTGTTGTATCTTTATGGATTTATCTATTCCAGATATTTGATATTAATAGAAATGTATAATGTAACTCCTTATGTGACTTCTGTTTACTTGACATAACATCTTAGAGATTCATTTATGTCACAGCATGCACCAGTATGTCAAACTTCTTATGGGTAAATGATATTATATTCCTGTTAAGCATACTTTGTTTATCCATTCTTCCATGTACTTCTATAAACATGTATGTTTCCCTGGCTCCGATGCTCATGCCTATAATCCTAGCTACTCAGGAGGCTGAGAGCTAAGGAACATGGTTCAAAGCCAGTCCAGGCAGTTAAGTCTATGAGACTCTTATCTCCAATTAACCATCAGAAAACTGGAAGTGGCACTGTGGCTCAGAGTGGTAGAGTGCTAGCCTTGAGTGAAAAAGCACAAGGACAGCACCCAGACCCTGAATTCAAGCCCCATGATGGACAAAAACAAAAAGCTTTCCATGTTTATTATTATTTTATGAATAGACCTAAGATTGTTACTGCTGGGTCATGTGGTAACCTATGTTTAACTGTTTAATATACCAATAAATTGCTTTCCATAGTGGCTGCAACATTTTATGATCTCACAAGCAATGTATGAGGGTTCCCATTTCTTTGCATCATTGACAACATTTGCTATTTTCCCTTTAAAATAAAATCATACTGTTCTTGTGGGTATGAAGTAGTACTTTATTATGTTGTTACAAGACTTCAGTTCTGATGCAATCATACACATCAGTGTTTTGTCTTATGCTATTTTTTTCTTTGCCAATCCTGGTTTTGGAACTCAGGGTCTACGCATTGTCCCTGAGCTTCTTTTGCTCAAGGATAGCACCCTACCACTTGAGCCACAGTGCCACTTCTGGCCTTTTCTGTTTATATGGTGTTGAGTAATCAAACCCAGGGCTTCATGCATGCTAGGAAAGCACTCTATCACTAAGCCACATTCTCAGCCTCTCTTATGGTATTTTTTAAAGTTGCTTAAGAGTCTGTCCTGGGTTGGAGGCATGGCTCAAGTGGTAGAACACCTGTGTAGCAAGTGTGAGGCCCCGAGTTTAAACCTCAGTAATGAAAAACCAAAAACCAAGCAACAGTAACAACAACAACAGAAAACAACAACAGAAAACCCTAAAACCAAAAAGGAACAAAAATCCACAAATGGTTATCTAGAAATTATTCTATTCCATTGTTCTATTTATTTGTTGTTAAACCCAAACCCATTAATATAAAATATCCTGTTAATACCTTGGAGGGAAAATTCCATTTTGAAGTTGACTTTTAATTATATTTATGAATAATACAAAGTGGAGCAAGCCTGCCTCAACTCATGTCTTCTCATAAAAACAAATCCTCTATATTGACTGAGAAGAAAACTCTTTAGTGTGTGTGCCAATCCTGGGGCATGGACTCGAGGTCTGGGCACTGTCCCTGTGCTTCTTTTGCTAAAGGCTAGTACACTCCACCTGAGTCACAGAGCCATTTCTGGCTTTTGCTGTTTATGTGGTACTGAGGAACCAAACCTGGGCTTCATGCATGCAAGGCACTAAGCCACGAGAAGGAAACTTCTGAGTCTTGCTTATAGATAGCCGTTTCTTCACAATGGTAGTAGCCAGAAACTGGACGTAGTATATTGCCTCTCTTGGGAGCAACTAGGAAGGAAAGTGGAATAGGGAAATAGACAATTAGGAAGGAAAGTGGAATAGGAAAATCAACAATTAGGAAGGAAAGTGGAATAGGGAAATAAACAATTGGGTAGATTGCAAGCAGCACAGCCCATTGTCTCATTTCCTAGATGAAAGGTAAGGTGATTTGGTGTCATCTCATGAACAAATGAACTGCCTTACAGGTGGAAATTAATGGTTTGTCACATAGGAGACACTTGGAAAGAGATTGGTGGCATGTTTAAGAAATTGGTTTTTAACATTTTTGTCTGTCTTTAAAAGCCATCTCTTGATCTATAGAATTATCACAATGAAACTTCTGTTGTACTATTGCTGTATGTTAATAAAGGACAATTGAATAAACCTCCTAACTACAGTCCCATTTCTCTCCTACCCCTTATAACAAAATCCCTTGAAAGATTAACCTACACTTAGTATCTCCAACATTTCTCTGCCCTTCACAGGCAAATGGTGGCAAAAAATTACACTGGATTCTTTCAACTGTCAATGGGATTGCATCTTTTTATACACTAGAACAATATTCTACACATGGATTTGTTTTCATTTTCTTATCCTTTCCCTGAATCTCTTG